GTTTTGCTTCTAATAAATTTCAGTTCACATTTTATGATCATGCTCGTCTCATATATTCATATAAAAACCACGCTGAAAACCTTATTAAAATCTATTTTCTGAAAAAATCACAAAAAATTGATTAAACGTACCAAACCTTGGTTAAATTCGAAGTAAAAAGTGATAATAATCTGATTTTTCATGTAACCTTTTTTTTTACATGAGTCCCTACTGAAACGCTTCCTATCTCCTCAGAAGTGGTCTCATTTCCATCGGATCATCCCACATAAGAAAATTCGAGATCTACGATTGAAAACACAGGATTTTTTCTCTTTCTTCTTTGTACAACGTCAGTAGATCCTCTAATAGCAATATATATATCCGATGATTCTAAGTCAGAAACATGGCAATTTATGACCTTTTGACTGAAATAAGTTCTTCAAAATCATGTAACTATATCTCACTACTAGTCTGCGAGTGTGATTAAAACTCAGTTTTCTTAAAGTTTCATTCGATTTCGAGTTGTCTTTGCTTATATCGACTAGTGAAATGAATTAGATTTAATTTCGTTTTGTACTTACTTGAGAAAAAATGAATTAAATCAGGTTTATTTTCCTAACCGAAATAAATAGGTAAAACTATGAAAATCGAATACAATTAAAAGAGCATCGAGTTTCGTGTATAGTCACCAACGGGAAATAAGATATATTTACATTCTTTTGCAGAAATTATTTCACTCAGATATTGATCTAATGCTGAATTTTTAGCTTAGTTTGGTATAATAAATAGGATACTAATATGAGGCCAGACTGATGATGTACAAAGACGAAATTGGAAAAGTTGTGTTCTTTTGATGTTGGACTACTATGTAGACATCTTGCAGTCTTCATGCTTCTATATATTCGTTTGATCACATGTATTTATTATCAATGGATGGTATACTACACGTTAGTGCATTTTTCGAAAAGTAGGATTATGAAGATACAGTATTCAGTTAATGTTATAATAGCAATATAATAATTATATAGAAAAGAAAATACACAAAAAACTATTTTTCTTCTTGAACCTTATTTAATCGATCAGAAAACAAAATAGGATTAGTTTCTGGCAAGTACCAATGTTCGACCTATCGGCGCATATTTGTCCTCTGACGATTGACCTTGATCGAAAGAAAGATTCAGATTGACAATTCTCGAAGAAATAAGATGCGCATTCCGTGAGTTTTAGAACTAGTCACATCCAAAATAATATCAAGATCAAATTCATCGATTGGTATCAATTCGTTGTATTCCTCTATCTTGTCATTTCACTAGATTGCTCGTCAGATTGATGCTGTTCATTATCTTTGTCTTCTTTATCTTGATGATTCGACTCAATAAGTTTCTTCGTAGGAGTTCTATATTTTCTTCTTGCTGAATTTTCGTATGCTAAACAATTCACGTATCTAAATCGTATCATTTTATTATTGGGATCCAGATAATATTATCCCTAGTCTGGAAGACTTCTTTTTTTTCTCTCTTTTTGAGAAAACTAGCACTAGTTACGGAAAACATTTAGTTTGATTACTTCATCTAATGATTCAAAGTTTGATATATCTTTTTTTTTAAATAAACATGCTTCTAACTGTTACGACGGTAGCCGATCACTTCTATTATCTAAGGATGAGAACTTACCATTCCGTAACCAAATAGTTAGAAACTGATCAGTTATTGGCTACGAAGGTAGCTGACTTCAAATTTCTTGCCAGCTACCAAGTAAATAATAATTTAACAGTTACCAATTGCTTTACTATATAAGAATAAGTTTTTTTTTCGTTAAAACGCAATGGTAGTCACTTATCGTTAGTAAACAGCTATTTTGGCAAAGGATGAAGGCTGTGTCAGTTATTTGGTAAAGTAATGGTAGCTTCCCTCTTCTGCTTTTAAAACTTTTTCACTTTTTCGCTCTGAAATTATCATTAGGAGTAGTATTGGGTATCCGGCTCCCTTCATTGAGTTATAGAAATGGTAACACGAACGTAAGTCATTGCTGCTTACGAGAGCTTGTTTCCTCTTGGCGATAGCAGAAAATCATTGTCGAGGAAATAGCATACAGACATGCTCCATACATATATATGAATTTGCTGCATGTGAATAATACTTGGTTTCATCTTACGAATTTGAGAATTTCTAGGCGTACGCAAGTCTACAAACAGTTTATTATTTATTTACACGTCAGAGAAACGACTGAATTTCAGCGAAATAAAAAAAACATCCAAATCAATCTTTGGAACATTAGTACAATTCACGAAGTTTAAAGAACCATGAGAAATGGAGATTTTTATGGTAGTTTTCATCCCTCAAGTATTCAAAGATGTAGACAAACAAAACAGCCTCTGATAACTCAGAGAAACTAGCAAAGTCAGCGGAAATCTAACAAAACTTGAAAACCTTTTGAATAATTAAAAATTAGGTCAAAATTCAATAAAGTCGCAATAGGCTTTTCCAACTTAACCTAGGTGCCTTCGCAGATATCCACATAAATGAAGCTATTTTTTAGCACTTTTCTTTCAAAAAATCAATATTCTCGTTTATTTTTAATAGTAGATGTTCTTCTTTTCTTTTTTCTTACAAACACTCGATGGGACAACGTTCATATTGAAAAATTTTTGAAGCATTAGTGCAAAAAAAAATATTAAGTTTGATTACTCTTTCAAGTTAGAAAAAATTGTTTTTGAATTGTAGTAGGTGATTTTACATGATTTACTATGAGTCTAGATGAGTTTAAGTGGACTATATGAGTTAATTTTGATCTTAAGCTGATTTAACTCAGTTTTCCCTCTGAGTCTGCCACAAAACGTTACCTTTTAATCACCTTGATTCGGCTAAAATCTACAACAGCATGGCCGAGATATATAAGAACATGGACGAGCACTCGAAAGCACTTTCATTTTTTTCCAAAAACACATTTAAAATACGAGTGCAACACTCTTCATCTGATCATCAATCGTTAGCTTCCATTTACGACAACAAAGAAAAGTGTTTTCAAGAAATGAGATGCTTCCAGCATGCAATTTCACTCCAGCAAAAGGCGCTGAACATCTACGAAGAATCTACAACTCCTAACTATTTGAAGCTGGTGATGGCCTACAATAACATCTGTAAGATGTATTATTCGATGAAAAATTACGCGACTGCGCTATCCATTTTTCAATACACCTGAAATTGAAGAAAAATATCTTGGTTCTTATCATTCAGATTTGGCCTACACCTATCATAAAACAGCATATGCACTTGAGGTCTGGAACAAAATCCAGAAGCATTCAATCATATAAAGAAAGCTGTTAATATATGGTACTCATGTCATAGAACCTGATGACTATCGATTATAATTTTTTATAGATCATTATGACACTTTTCCAAGGGGGAAAAAGCGAAATTTTCAGAGTGCTTACTCCCACCATACTCCCATTGTACTCCCATCGTACTCCCATTGTACTCCCACCGTACTCCCATTGTACTCCCACCGTACTCCCATTGTACTCCCACCGTACTCCCATTGTACTCCCATCGTACTTCCATTGTACTCCTACCGTGTTTCCACCGTACTCCCATCGTACTCCCACTGTACTCCCATCGTACTCCCACTGTACTCCCACTGTACTCCCACTGTACTCCCATTGGACTCCCACTGTACTCCCACCGTACTCCCGTTGTACTTCTTCAGAATCTTGTTCAGAATCCATTTTATTTTGCTTTATAGCATCTCTCCTTACTACACCTTAACTATATTTCAACAGATGAAACATAGCGTTTCCATGCGCTACTTAGAAAAATTTCAGATGAAAGTAAAATCCATGTATTTCTAAAAATTATTTTTTGCAGCCGCATCCGTATAACTTGTGATAATGAATGTGAGTTGCTGGGAACTCATTATAGCATCGTAAAAAGAGTACCTTAATATGATGAAAACTAGCTTCTTTGTTTCATACGCATGCTTATAAGAGTGGTGTCGTGAAAATAGATACTGTTTTCAACAAGTGAATCTCGTTGAATGAAACGCAATATATATGAAGAACATTCAGTTAATTTTTTTTCTTAAATCATTCATACTGTCTTATTGATTCATCCAGTTTGTAGAAAAAAGCCTGCAATTGCAATTCTCCATAGTGAAACTTGAATTGGTACGAGAAAAAAGACAATAAGACTGTTTCGAAGTTTATACAAATAAAATCAAACAGATTATGTAATATCTATAAACCATTTCTTATATGTATATAACTTTGTTTCTAAGAGCCAAATTTATCACCTACATTCTTAATAAATGAAAGAATTGCTATTTAATAATATTACTAATAAAAAAAAATGAATACAACAATAAAATTCTTTGTAATAGAAAAATAAATAACACATATGATTAAAGTCTAAGATATAAATAAACATATAACATAAAACAATCTAACGAGGGAACCGTTCGAAGTGATTCAAAGCTTTTAAGCCGATATTTTGCCGATAAGTAGAGTCCAATGAGATTAGAAAAAGCCCAAAAGGACAAGGGCCCATGGGCCTTCCTTCTCGAGTTATGGTCATTTTACTGGGTTTATCACCTATGATATGATATTCACCGAAAAATCAAATTAAGGAGTTTCGACCTGAAATTTTGCCCACATGTAGGTCTTNTTTTGAGCTGAGGAATCGAATGGTGCAATTTATTTTGCAATTAAAGACACTTTTCATGTCGAAACAACTTTTGTCCCGAAGTTTCCTATCGAAATAGCTGTAATGATCGAATTAGGCAAAAAAAAATACATGGAGTGATCGAATTAGGAATCGAGCAGAACGGAAAAAAAATTGAGTAGGTTTCTTTCTAACGACTACTGTTCATTGAAAAATTTTTTTTTTTTTTTTTAAGTGGTAGAAAGATAGAGAAATACTTTTTCTATCCCGGAAACTAAAAAGTACTTCGAACGGATGCTGTGTAAAGAAGTTATGAGTTTTTTTCTAAAAAGAAAAAAATTCGTGATCAAATTAGGGTTAGGCACTCTAATGTTTTTCATAAACACCTGAATATGATGTAGATTGTACATTTTCGAAAGTAGATGTTGATGGTCGATCATCTTCCGATGGATAATCATTATAAGCAATTCCAATTGAATCCTCAATACCATCTTCATCATTACCATTGACTATCTGAATATATTGAGATTCATTATTATCATCTTCAACATCTCCTTCTTCTTTTTCTTCTTTTTCTTTTTCTTTTTCTTCTTCTTCTTCTTCTGCTTCTTTTTCTTCTTTTTCTTCTTCTTCTGCGATGAATGCATCTTCTTCATCGCTGCATTCATCATCACGACCATCAAGAAGAAGAATTTCAGATTCAGTTAATGTATTCATTTGTAATAAATCTTTTGCCATTTTCGATGATTCTTCTATGTTGTAAAGTTTATACTTGATCAAATTTTTATGCATTCCTACAGATTCGACCATCTCTTGTGCTGTTTCATAAGCACGAAGAATAATTTCTTCGATGTGTTCCGAACTAAAATCAGTATCTTCAGTGATATTATTAGATTCATTGTATTCATTTATACGCTTGATCTTGTGATGAACAGGAAAGACAATCTTTGCTTTTTTATTATTTGATTCGAACTGTTTTATTTCCGTTAATGCATTTAATTTATTGATTCTTTGTAAAAATTGTTTTATAGTAAAGTTGATTCTCGTAGAATATACACCTGACAGAGCACGTGCATCTCGAAAAATGGCTTCACACGGCTGAGATGAGAACAAATGTATTGAATTCGAAATTGATTTAGGAATGAGTTTTTGATTGATCAATAAAGATATAAATATTAAAGTGTGAGCATTCAGTTCTATTGACATTAAAGAATTGGATGTAATAAAATAATTTCGACTATTACGATCATTATTGTGAACAAATGATTTACAAATTTTCTTTGTTTTATATAACCACAATCGCCACAATCTAATGAAGAACACTACTGTCCATGCATAATAGATTCTAGTTGATAAAGAAATTTCAGATTGAGTATAAGTTTTGATTAATAAATTGATAAGCAATAAATAATTAAAAGTTCCAATATAATCTTCATTTGATGATAACAAATTCAACACCTTTTCGTCGCAAATTTTTTGACAAGATGTAAAATTTTGTTTATCTTTTACTCTTAAATCAGATTTAGATAAATTACTATCAACCTTATTGGTTGATTCAATTAATTGATATAAATGTTCGACTGTTATTTTAAATGATCCTGTATGAAGACAAACTTTTGGAGACAAAAGACGATTACGCATCTTATTACAAAGATGTATTCCATCTTGTAAGAACAGAAACAATTGAGTAGGATGAAGAAAATACCATGAACACCAAGCAAATGGTATATCAATTGTGAATGATAATTTGTCATTATAAATATGTATTGTTCGATCTTTTACGAAAAAGTTATAAGCCAACCGCATAGCGCGGAGGTATTTCGGGTCTCCATCTGTGGATACGCCTAAGACAAAAATATTTCTTGAACGTAATTCGAAGTACATCATTAGCCATCGTTGCATTATATCGATAGACGAAATTTTACAATCAGTGCCATAGGCAGCAAGCACTGTTGCTGATGGTTTAAAACAATTAGTATTCGATATTGGCTGAAGTGCATGTACATTTACGAGATTAGAACGTGAATGATTATCAAATAAATCTTGTAATTCTTCGAATGATTGACAAATAAAAGCATTTTCGATTGGTTTGCCTTTTATAATCGGTGTAACAAATCCATTAAAACAATTAAAAGTTGAGTCGTATTCAACTCTTGGGATAATCCCTGAACAGTCCTCGGATAAGAAAACATATTGACAATCCATGGAATCAAGGTAAATCTTTGATTCATTAAATCGAAATTGAGCTTCACGATATGGATTTTCTTTATAAACAGTGTTGACTGTTTGAATTGATGGTAAAAGATACTTGAAGTTAAGTCGAAGAAATTGGTACACATAAGCACCAGCAAGTATAAGGATGCAGGCAGCAAATCTTAAAACAGCATTTTCATATCGATAATTGTTCGGTGTTCCATTTGAATTCAAGTGAATTGTTTCAAGTAATACAGATAAAATATCAGAAGGATCGAATTTACCCCATAAAATCTTAATAAATTCGCCCGACACATATTAAGATCTTTCAAGATTTAAATCTGCTCACCTCTTGTTCAATTATTCTTTTATTATCTCTTGTTGTCAACTTATATTTGTTTTGTCCTTCATTTTCATCATACTTTCGTTTCTTTGATTGAGACAAACTGCTTGAATTTACATCCTACAAATCAAAGAGTATTCAATGAGATCATATTTTTCTTTTTATAAAGAACGTACTTGTTGATGTAATGATTTTATATATCGATAATTGGATGGGAAATTTGTGGTTTGTCGTTGTTGACTATTCAACATTTGCTAAAATAGGAGAATTATAAGTAAATAGTCTATATTATTCACACATTATTCAGAGCAAATATTATGTCCACTTTATGTTTGGCTCATAGTGTTGAATAAAATATTCGTATAAATCGTTTTCTCTAATCCTCAAGATGTGTTTTTCAATAAGAAAAAGTCTTTCTCTCTACATTATGCTAAGAATAGAACTTTTCAGTGAAGATACAGAAAAACTTAAATATTATTCAAAAAATATATACTCGAAACCTATCTTATTAGCTCAGCATTGAAATGAATTTTTTTATTTTAATTTTTCAGTATGTAAAAATCTAAGTAGACATATGTATTACTTATAAAAATACAACGTACATAAGGAAAAACTTTAGTTATACATAGAATGATATTTAGGCGTACCTTGTTTTTATTTATTGATGAAAGAATCGAAATTGAACTATGTGTTTTGCCTTCGTCGGGAGCCATACGATTTGACGTTTGTCCACTTTGTCTTTTTTTTATTAAGAAAAGCAAAATGGTTCTTTGATATTGGATTTAATAAAGACTTACCGATTTTTTGATGAACCAACAGTTGCATTACCATAACGATTACTTTTCGGAACTACACCAGAATTTCCACTTTGTCTATAATTGAGAAACAATACGAAAAAAAATATGGAACATGGTAAGTGAAAAACAATATTAGTTACATTTTTTTCGGTCTTATTGGTGTTGGTGTATCATCATCGATAGTATCATCAAATGTAGATATATCTAAACTAGTGTTATTGATTGATCGAGTACTTTCTTTTTTTGAACATTGACTACCACTTGGTAGCTGTGGTTCTCCTAATTCTTCATCTTCACTACCGGCACTAGGTATTTGATTTTTTCTATTGGAATTTAGATGTTTTATTAAATTTGATAATTGAAAATGTTGGCTTTTGTAGTACAATTTAATACGATCACTACAAACACATTGTATGGAACAAGTTGGTGTAACTAATTCGTTGTTATGGTCCACAAAAATTTGAAAGTTTTTCACTGATACATTTGTAAATACAGAACCATGAATGTTTCTATCCATTTTGATCAATAATTTATCGATAGATTCTTCGATTGATTTTTGATATTTTTCAAAATTATTATCAATGGCAATATTGTTGTCATCGGTTGATGGTGACGTCGATCGATATTGATCGACTCGACTCAATCTTGCTTCAGAACGTAATTGAAATCTTTTTTTCTTAATAATATTTTGAGTTGATTTTAATAATGAGATGAGTTTTTTCCGTGTTCCAACTTTTAATGATGTGGAATACTGGGATATGGTGCAGATTTCTTTTTTCAAGTTCATTAATTCATCGGTACAATTTTCATCATCAGATTTTTCAAATAATTCAATCAGTTCCTGTTGACTAACTTGATTTAAAACTTTGTAACTATCCACATCGTGATATCGTAAAATTTTCATGACTAGTTTTCCATATATCTCTTCTATATGTTGATAAAACTGTTCACCTGTCAAAGTAATTAAATGTTCAATGTCATTATTATCCATAATTTAAAATAATCGAGTGCAATAGTTATAAAAGATGAAATAATAAAATTATAAATTAAAACAGTTAAAAAATCGAGTAAATATGAATTCACTAGTTTATTATTGATTTTGATTTGTTCGTTTGCTTTTGTCAACGGCGCATAAAAAAAACGTTGCCATCATAGTTACCATAAGAATATGGTACTCAAAGTAGTTGTTCTTTATAATTAAGATTTACTAGGAAATGAATGATATTTTTTTAGAAAATGATGAAGGTCATTGATATTTTTGTTAAATCTGAAGAACACCTCTGATCAACATTAGCTTTACTGTGCGTAGGAAATATCAAAAGTTGTTTAAAATTGTTTTGTCGAAGTCGTTTCTTCTATATTTTGTATATATAGCAGGAACATCTAATTGCGTATCAATCTAATACTTGCTCCTTTATTTATGTGATATAATATTTGATATGGCGGTGCCTTAATAATTTAGTCAAACGTCAAAATCTTAGCATTTGCAAAAAAACAATGAACTCGAATTTTGACAATATAAAATAGAAAGATACTGGGAATTAGCTGAGAATGTTATTTCAAATTATTTGTATTTGACTAATATTGATATGATTTTTTAATGATCAAATCGAGTTCTTTAGTTGATTCTTTTGCTGTGAGTTAACGTTTATTGAAGTTTTAATCTCAAGTAATTTTTATTATTTGATCGAATATGGGTAGAATAGAAACGGATAGATTACCATTTTCAAAAATTTATCAT